ATAAATAACTTTAGGAGAAAGCAAAAAAATAAATCTTTTAATTTATCTGAAATAGACTCACACATAGGTATTAAAAGCAACACACCACTCTACATATTAACATAGAGTTATTTTTTAATACAAAAAAAGCAACTCAAAAATACAACCTTGTACATTATCTAGCTATTGCAACCTTCACTATCATCATACAAGACATTTCATATGGTGCTATCTCAAACATACCTCTGGATCAGAAGACAAGTTGAGAACCTCCCTGTGTCCTCTCAAACAGTGGTTCCGATTTTTTTCTGAAATTCAGATTAAGATTGAGTGAGTTTCAAAAGCTTTGCAACATATTAATTTGCACACCTTTTCATACATTATATAATGTGTATCATTCTAATTTGACCCTTCCATATACACACTGATTCTGAAACTGGACTAAAACCAACGTTCTCAAATTTTTCAGGCACTGTGATCACTTGTTCACGTCCAAAAAGAGAGAGAAAAATTCCAAGAGATTCTGGGTCCATTTTCTCTCTGGGTTTGCATCCACCTGAAAATGGTTCCTCCTTCGTCTAGATGTACTGCCTTATCCTTGACAAATAACTGAATTAAACCTCACCCACAGATTCAGAATCCTCAACAGATGCAGAAACATCATCATCGTCTTCTTCATCAGAGGATTCTTGGCCATCCTGGCTCGATGAAACTCTGCTTATTTCACTTTCCCAGGTACAAACACTTTCCTTTCTCTCCTTTGCTTGACCAGCTGACTCTTCTTTCGTCCTGTGCTTTTTACTCTTCAAGAAGAATACTTTTTCAGCACAGGGATTGGGTAAGGACAGTATACCTTCCTTATCAACACAGCACCACACCTGGAATTAACAATAAACCAGAATAGAATCTCACAGTCACTGCACCTGTTGCACTGAAATCATTTGTTGAACTAATAGATCACAAGCCTAGATGACATCAAGTCTAAGTAACATTCTAAAACAAAGTCATTCATTACACAACTGGGTAGCTGGAATTGAAAGTCAGGGCTTGAAATAACAGCCAGACAACTGTCAACAAGAGCATCCCATCAAATGTAGGTTTTGTCCCATCAACTCCTACAAGTTACTTATTCCATTCTTGTGACAATCTGAAATCTACACTTAAGTAGTCATCAATTTCTAAAGCTCCTAATTCATCACCGTCTTATCTCTCCATATTAAGTGGTAAGATAAACTGTAAAAAGCAAAAACCATAAAAAACATTACATTTTGTTCAAAAATGCCACTTCTGAAGAATTATGAGCATGCTAATCATGCAATTTCATGATGAACCTCTATGCAATTTCTTTTCCTTCTATTTGGAAAGGGTTAAATCATTCATTACAAATATTCTGAAGACAAAAACTTGGCCCAAAATAACAACAATCAATTAAAATCAAATTGACCCCACATTATGTCCTCCATACATATCTACCATACTCACAGTAACACTTCCAAGGATTTCTAAAAGGCTAGTAGTCCTTGGCAAACTGGATGGATCGCCCAAAAAATTCTTCCAAAAGCAACACAATACTTCTTTTAGAGATATTTCATTTGCTGGCTGCCATAAAACAAATAAAAATGTAGTTATAAAAAAATAAGAAGTCAAACTTTTAGGAAATCTGACTCTTACAAATAAAATGACAAATTTAGCCACAGCAGTAAATCTCTTTGAAAATACAATTCTCATTTTATCGTAAGACTGAATTCCAAAATCAAATTGTTCTCCTCTGAATTTTACAATCTTACTTAAAACAGCTTAAAAGAGAAATTGTACCTTGTGTTCCAACTGAGCATTGTATTTGTATAACCAAATCAAAAAATTATCTCATTATCTAACAAGAGCATGCATCCTTATCTGGTGAGGAATACGTTAGCTGTTGTTCTCACCCTGAACAAGTTAACACCCTTTTTTACAAAACGAATCATTTGCTATAGAGGAGAGAACTATCCAGCTTTACTAAAAGGGGACCCATGAATTCTTCCACATTCTACCCCGATGGTGTACTTTTCTTCCTTTTTCAACCAGATTGAAATACTTACATCTTCTTTCTCCTTTAACTGTGTAAATAACACTTGAATTCGTGCTGTTCCATAAAGATTTAAACAGATCCATACAACCGGAAAAGAAATTGGCAGGAGTGGCAAGATGGTGTAACCCTGAAAAAGAAAAAAATCAGGAAATATGCACATTATTGACATTACCAGATCAGCTTAAAAATTGCGGCAAGCTAGATTAAACCGAAGTCAATTTTCCTCCAACAAAATAGACACTCCCTTCTCTTTAACTACTCATTAAAAGTTGTTGATTTGAGGTTTGATTACCATTTAGCAAAACAAGAAGCCTTAAGTTTTTTTAATGATTGATTTTATTTACCATTATATAAAGAATTACAAAAATTTACTTAAATTGGTAAAAAAAACAGATTTAATGGCAAGGAAACCTAATAAAAACCCATTTAAGGCTTTTACCTTGCGTTCCCTCTCAAGAAGTACAAGTTGAATAACCAAGACAACACAAAAAGTAAATACTGTCTTGAAAAGCCATATGAAAGTCCATAGTAATATTAGTGGTTGTTGAATATAGATATTTTAAGTTTTTTAGGGGTGGAGGGAAACTAAATGCACACAGGATCACAGAGACATCACTGGTGCCCCAAGTTAACTGTCTCTGGCAAGTGCTTTCTTGCAATTAGTTGGTGGCATCAGTTATATCATATCAAACAGTTACACCATTTAAAGTTCACATCATTAATTGATATTAATATCAATTAAAAATGATATGAACTTTAAATGGTGCAACTGTGATTTTTTTTTCTGGTACTGATATTATAAAGTACCAGAAAAAAAAATCATTCTGGGCCAATAATTCCGTGTAGGAGACGTGGCCTTCTGTATTTAGTGTAGTGAACTCTATGACCAAAGGTGCGGATTTGGGCCCAGCCAAGTCTTTGTGTTTTGTTCATAGGCAAGATACTTTTAAATCTGACTTATAAATGTTTGTTTGAGTTTGTCCTACCTGCAGTAAAAGAATCATTTCACTCCAGTGTCCTGATTCACTTTTAAGAAAAATTGTCCTTAAGATATTTACTGTCAAAGATAACACCTACAAGAAGAAGGAAAAACAATAAAACATCTGTAACAAATTCAGTAACACTTTATAAAAGCTGTTTTTTCTATGGGGAGGGAGTCCTTCAGAATCCACCAATTGCAATTTACAGTGTAAGGTATAATATAAACATAATAGAAACTAACCCAGGGCCAATATATTCAACATACATTCTAACTTACCAAAATTGTAAACAGAAGTTTCTTGTCTATGATAGTACTTGTGATGTAATGCATTTCATTTCCAATGATGCTAATTGGCCTCTTCAGAGAATTATTTAGAATTGTTCTGTTTAAAAAAAATTCATCCAGTATTAGTATTATAGTCCATGAATTGGTGGCTTAATGGATAATATGCTGCACTCCACATGAAGAGAAGCAGGTGAAGCCTATTCAGGTTTATGTGTTGTGCTCTTTGGCAAAACAGTTAGCTCTCCCTATGCACCTCCTAGACCTTTAACTCCCAGATCAAATTTGTAATGCTCCTTACTGTCGACCATACAATTCATATAACGTTAGTTCAGAGAATTTAGTATTGGATAAACTAGTTATCCCCAAATTGATATTTTTCTTTATACTCATCAATTATCTGATTACTATTGTATTGATATGGTAAGGAAAAATTATGTCTTAGTCACTCATGGGAGTTAAAGGGTTAACCTAGGGGAGGAAGGGGGGGGGGAAGAATGGTTGCAGTAACCTGTCAAGAAAACTTGGTAAGTTGCCATAGGGTGAAATGTGAGGGACTAATATCCTTTCCAGGGAGGGAGGGTAATAATGCTCCCAGACATCTCATGGTAACAAAAACAATGACAAGCTCTAGAACTGGTGGGCTTCTAAGTGTGTGTAAACCTTTAACTATCACAAACAATGAATATCCTGTTGACATCTAAGGGACTTTCTGAAAGCTTTGTACTAATCTCTCATCTAAGAATCAGCCAATAATACTTCCCCACTTTTGCAACAGAAGTTACCTGAGATTTTGTTTGAAAGGACTTTCTGTAACAAGGAACTTTTCACGCGGATGAGGCTGAGATGGTTGTACACCAGTTCCTCTGTTACCATCACCTGCAAAATAACAAACAGAACAGAGAACCTGAGCCAAAATAATGGACAGCATTTCCACAGAAGGCCTGGAAATACAGATAAATCGACAAAGACACTTAACAAGGAAATTATCCAGAACTTAATCCTTCAACCTTAGGTGACCGAAGAGGTGACCAGTATCCAATTTCTCCCTACCATATTACACTTGAATCAAACATAGAGGTCATAAGAATAGAGGAGATGATCACCAACTTTAGAAGCTCTTGATTGTTTAACAAATTCTCAAGTCGGTATCATAGAAAATGTATAGAGAGCAGCATGGAGATGTTATGTTAGGGTGTAAAGGGAAAGAGGAACTCTACTCCGGCAAGTGTTCCTCAGAAAGTTACATTCACTGCGTAATTTTTTTTTTAATGCAAGGGTACTTGCCAAGGAAAATTTGAGTGTAAATCTACCCTGCCTAGCATTTGTCCTTGTTCAATACACCAGGCTGTAATGTATAGAAGTTATAAGTTTTGACTTACTGGAGCCACTCTGTGTAACAGGATGGTACACCTGACCTTCTTCAAGAACAAATAATGGCCCTCTGTTGGTAAATTCTGAGGGGAGCTGTCACAAAAGAAGCCAAAATATTACTAGGTCTTGTCTAAATTCAGTTCATAATAAAGAAGGAAAGTTTCAACCTTTTGTGATGGACTAGCATGCCTTTACACAATATTGAGCAATAATCCTGATTGCTTCATGCTAACGAAATCAAGATAAGCTTCAACAACCCTAACCCAGTTTTCCTCTTTAGAAGTTTGCATACATTCCTATGTTTTGCCACACAAAACAACCTAGTTGTGCATCACTAGAAGGAAAAAAAACACAGAACCTTATTGATCAATATCTTGATCTAAACAACCCTACCTGCTGCACTTGTGCAGGGGCAGTATGACCTGGTCCTAATACCACCACATCACCCTGAACAAGGAGGTTAACAGGGACACTGACCAGTTCATTGTCTCTGTAGGCATGTGCCAGCGAGATTGAAAGAGAGGGAGGGGTGCAGGGATCAACATAATCAGATGGCATCCAGCTGCAGCAAGCTGTGGAGATGGATGTTACTTTATTAAAAACTACAAAGATGGGTCAAAAAGACTTGAGATTAATGTCAAATTTAGCTGTCATGACTATGCTCCTTTGTCATGCAGAAGAAACATGTATTGCTTTTTGCTTTCATGCAATGACCATCCTTTCCTCATTAGACTTTGCTCAGAACTTCTATTATCTGTTAAAAGGGTTCTGTACAGTGTAACACTGTCCACAATAGCAAGCTAATCAGGTTAAAGGTCACTGAAAATTAAGGTTTTTTTTTGGCCACTTTTGATTTGAGTGCTTCTCACCATTGCAGCTGTTAAGCAACTCCTGAGTACTTCTGATCATCTCTGTTCTTCTTAGTCTTTCCTCTCGTACACACAATATCAAATTAACAGCTGTTAGTAACAGAACAATGATTCCTTCTATCAGTGGAAGGCTACAGCAAAGAAAAAAGAGAAAGCACTATCAGTGTTCTATCTTAGTACAAGAAAAAAACTGCTAAATCCAACAGACAATGAGGATTTTCACACACTTTAATTTAGAGCCTCGCAGTATACTAAAAACACTTATTGCTTCTTCTGACTGTCTAATGCTATTAATACATTCTTATTCAGCTACATACAATTTGACCTAATTAAACACCTCAGATTTACTAGGATTTCTCATTCAATCGCAATCTCCTGAGTGCAAGCCCACAAGAATGGTTTATCTTCATTACAGGTACCACTGGAACTTTGAGTCAGGTGGGGGTTGTTGGGGGTTCAGGTGGATAAATCTCTATCCAGTGTATAGTACAGTATGTTTTGTTAGCATTAATCCACTGGATAGCAATTTATCTGTTGGATAGCATTATCTGGGGCCAGGGGTTTTATGGCATATGATTCTACGCCCACACCAATCTACTACACCTTTGTTTTTTCCTTAGAGTCTGAAATAGGGGCTCATGGCTAAGTTGAGGAGATCCACCAGCCAGGGAAATAACATTCTAAATAGTGGCTGGCTAGACAAAAGAGGCTCCTGGAGACTCCAGACATCCACCCATTTAAGTGAGAGAAGGTTAATCCCATTGATGTGATTTTTCTGTATCATCATTCCCTGTCTGCTTGCCGACATATTGATAATAGGAACTCTGTAATAGACCTCGCTCACCGTGGAGTCTCAGCACAGAATCAGAAGGTCTGAGGTTTGATTCCTCATGGGGACTGAGAATTTTTTCTTTGTCCCATGCTCATGACAGGACAGAAAACATCTTTTTTCATATCAATGTTAAGAGAAATTGCTTATCAATCATTCTTTGTCACAAGAGGTTAAGATTAGAAACTCACCTCCTTGTTTTATCACTGATGGCATATGACATCACCATTACCAGAAACTCAAACACTAAAAATGCAAGACTGATAAAGCTTATAGGCAAGTGATGATTGTCGCTCAGTGTACTCCAAAGATCACTTCTCCATGTACACTGGTTCACTGCTCTAAAAGTTGCTAACTCATCATGGATGGCATCAAAAAGTCTTTTCAGTGCCTCTTGAGAGCTAAGTCCAAGTGATCCTTCTTCTGTTTTCTATAACATAACAACGCAATGAAAAGTACTGTCTATACAACTAATAACCCCAAAAGGAAACCTGCCCTAACATTTTAATTCCCATAAGTGACCAAGGCAGAATTTCTCCTCACAATATCAATACAATATCAAGCAAACAAGTGACAAGGATGAAGAAAAATTGATATAAGGGGATTATTAGTTGATCCAATACCAAAGTCTCTCAACTAACATCATAAGAATTGTATGGCAGACAGTAAAGAGAATTACCACTGAGAAATTGGGAGTGAAATGGTTAAAGCCTGTAACAACTTCCCTAAGAATCACTAGGAGAAACATTCTTAAGGTGTCTATAGGGCAACAGAGATCAGATAATTCCTTGCCTACCAAGCAAAATGTTCACGCTTAAGTTTAAAAGCCTAAGTGTTTTTTCCTCATCCCCACACTGACAATATTCCCTTGCTGCTTTAAACCATTCTTTCTCCTACAAAATTAATTTTCTAGAAAATATAAAAACTTTCAAATTTTGTCTTCCACCCAATAGAATCAAAAGGTTTACCACTATGAGCTACCAAGAACCATTTTTGTATAGTCATGCACTAACATACTCTTTTCTTAGCACTGTTCCAAGTTTTTCCTCGTTTCACTTTATTAGCCCTTCCAATATCTTTTCTGCTCTCTCATGCTATGATTATTGGAAATTCTGTTTGTTTCTGTGCGTATACTAATGAAAGCCTACATTCTCTGCTAAAACTTGAAGGAATGTATAAGCAACAATATGATACCAAATTACGGTAGGCACAATTCATTTTGATATCTCTTCACTAAATTGTTAGATGGCTGTCCAACACCATGACTTACTTCTTGTACTTCACAAAGAATCTCCAAGGTATCCAGGTCAATTTCACCTTCACTCTCTCCCTGAGAAATTAAAGAATCATAAATTACGTAATTTGTGTTAGATATCAACTTTGATAAAAAGCTAAGTTTTTTGTTTGTGTCACGATGTAGTCACATGTGATGTAGATCGTGATGTTTTGACTGCATACTGCTAGTCTTCTTCAGGTGAGCAGTATACAGTCGAAACATCACGATCTACATCACATGTGACTATATCAGGAGACAAAGGAAAAACTTAGCTTTTTAGTGTTATTCAGCACTATGAATAACCACAACCTTTTTTATAAAATCAACTTTGATGTTTTAAAACTAAAGGTAAATTGGACAAAGTGGGTGATTTAATGAAAAAATTACACATTAATTATTTCAAAATGGCAAATTTGGACCAGCCATAAATGAAATGTCATCCCAAATATTTGATGTATTTAAGAGATTGGTCAATGTGAAATATGAGACTTAATGATATATCGCAATCACTGATAAAAACAATGCAGAAGAGAAATTTTGCGCATTTAGTTAACAATGGGATATCTATTAGGATATGATCATTATATGACTTTGCAATGTATTAATAGTAAATAGTTATTGACACATGTTGCAATAATTACTGAGAAAAATTAATAACAATTAATAATATCCATCAATCCCATCGATCAAAGAAAATTGATACCAAGTGTTCATATTAAATCAAAATTGATTAATTTGAATTCATTTTCAATACAGCTGATGGCTGATAGGATACAGCTGAAAGCTGATAGGATACAACTGATTGGATACAGATGATTGGACAACTCGATGCATTCGTTTAACTACTATCTTGAATTCCGTGAGGGCAGTTTTATAAGGAGGAGTAAAAGGTTGTCATAAGTTCCGATCTTTAATGCAAACAGCACTCTCTCTTTTCCTTGGAAAGGAAGTTGAAGGCAAAGATGGCCACGATATGCAAATCAAAGGAAAATTCGATTGGGATACATCGTACAAAAGTTCTTTTTAGACATTTATCTTGATTTTAAATTCTAGCTGACTGAATTTTAAACTTTTCGAAGAACGAACGAACGCTGGACAAAGTCTGTATAACTTTGATTCAAGAACACAAATATTTATAATTAGTTATATATCACAATGAAGTCGCTAATAAATATATTCGCGTCATACCAGCCCTTCTCGTCTCCGCCAGCTCCATGATCGTCGTTTCTCAGATGCAGCAGAGGAATCTTTTGGGTAATCACTCATTTTCATGCCACTAGCCGCTATGATCCTTCAAGCTAAGGGTTGATCTCCATAATCAACAAACTTTCCAACCATTTCAAGAGAATACACGTCTTCAAAAATTAGTTTGAGGTAAGACTTTTGATAATACTGATAGTCTTGGGAAGAATCAATTACTCGCTAAAGAAACGCCATATTTTCAACGAACAAATCATTTACTTCTACCCTGTTACCCGAAAGACGCCATGATTAAAGTCCCCGCCAAACAGCCTCGTGCCAGTTTCACTCGACTTAGTGAGATCAGGTGTAAGTGGGAGGGACGATAGTCTCCTTCGCAGCCGTTTTTTGGATGTCACGCAACGTTCCCCCAACGTTTTGGGGGAACGTTGCGTGACATCCAAAAAACGGCTGCGAGGGAGACTAGAGGGACGGGGGAGAGCACGGGAAGAGCTCGTGAGCGCTTCGAATTTTATTTTGTTGACAAATTAAAAAATTCTGTTTAAAAAACACTGAATTTTCATTTAATATTCGTTATTCGTAATGGAGGTCTGTACAGGATCAAACAAACAAACTTATTGGATTTAGGGATATCAACAGCTGCAGAAGTTTTCCAAGAAAGAATCTGGTCGGGCAGTAACTGTGGGCGATACTTGAGGGTACACTATGGGTGAAAATGTGTCGTTCGGGTCTAAATAAAGCCTGCGAATGTGCGAATTTGGCTTCAAAATAATACCCTGTAGTAGAGGGTTTGTTGTGGAAAAGGTGAATCAAGTAAGAATTTATTTTTGCTGTCTGCTGATACAGTGAACGTCTCAGCTCCAGAATTTCATTTTTAGGGTTTCAAAAATTCATTTCCACTTCCTTTTTTTTCCTGCGATCAAAACACAGAAACTTGGAGTATCTAGTCATTTATTTTATCAATATTCCAACTGTCAGGAAAGGTGGTAACTTGAACACAAGAGGTTTTACGGACAAGTCACAGAGCAAAGTGATACACTTCTGGATTACTTTAAACACTCAAACTGAGTGATACCATTCCTTCTTTTTAACTTATCTAAAGCCATAAAATACAATAAATACAGTTATATGATGAATGCTTTCTAAGAGAATAATGTAACTAATCTAACCTCTTCTAGCACTTTCTTCAATTCAAGAGAAAACTGTTTTTTTGAGTAATCAATCTGTCTTTAGCAGGAGAAAAGACCTGTAACTTTTTTGATCCCCTCATTTCTGAGAAAATTAAGTCTCAGTATAAAATTATTTTTAAACTCTAACTTTAATAACAGACCAAACAAAACAAACTTTTGTGAAATTTGCAGTTCTACTTAGTCTTTGAAAAAACGATAAAAATAGACTCTATCATGAGGTTTAACCAACTAATGCGCAACTAGATGACTATAAACTATTTACTAATTCTGATTCTTGATCCTCCTTGATTTTCCAAAATATATCTAACAAAAATGTACATTTATCAATACCTATGGCAAGTAAATGTTTTTTTTTGTTTGTTTGTTTGTTTTTTTAACTTAACACTTTACACCCTACCATCAGTATGCATGTTCTCTACATTGTTCTGTACAACTTTCCTTAGGTGCTGCCAAGGAGAATTTGTTTAATAAACAGTTTCTTGAGTTGGTGATCATTTCCTCAATTTTTGTGACCTTCATGTGTGATTCAGGGGTGATATTGTAAGGAGAAGTTAGATACTAGTCATTCTTGGGAGTTGAAAAGCTTATTAAATAACATTTCTTAACAGTAGAATAATTACAACTTAGTAAAGTTCACCCCTATTTCAAGGGTCATAAACGCTGGAACCATATCAGACAAGTCTTCT